CCCCGCCCCCTCCTGCCGCCCCTGAAGGAAAGAGAAGACTCCAGCGCGAGCGCGCGGGGTGCGGCCCCCAGCCCGGAGGGATGCCCTCGGGGGAGCGTCGACGCGCCGCATCTGTCTCCCCGCTTGTCTCGCACTTCCCTTGTCTCCCCCTCTCCGCCGGGGCAGCTGTTGTGTCCATAGGGGCGTGTGTGTGCGGCCCCATTTCGCCCGATCGCCTGGCCCCCCCTCTTTTTCTCGAGCGAGAGAGAGACCTCTGATTAATGCTCCCGCCCCCTCCCCCCCCCCTTGGCCGGGGGAGTCAGGCAAGATAGATCCGGAAAAAATGCCAGCCGCCTCTGAAATATAGCGCTGCCAGGAGGCGGGGGCGGGCTGCGCCCGGGCACCCGAAGATGCTGCATTTGTTGTTATTGTTGTTGTCGTCTAGACGGGCCGCCCCTGGCCTTGGGATTCGCTTGGCCCAAGTTTCCTGCTGTGTGGCCTGGGGCGGGGGGGGAGGGCGGTCCTCGCCGCCGGGGTTGCAGAACAACAGGTGCCCGGTGGGGCAGGGGGGCTCGAAGAGACGGCTGGGGCAGTCGCACCTCTGTATTGGTGGTGCCGCTCAAAAGGCCGGGGTAGAGCCGGCGCTCGCGCCCGGGCGTCGCCCAGGAGTGCGTATGTCCACACCGGGGGGGGGGGACTTGTCGCCGGACGGACAAACCTGCGCCCCGGGGGCGGCGGCGCGTTTGGCCGTCCGGACTCACTCGATCGAACGCCCAACGAGGGCGAGGGCAGGTCGATCATTTTCCACCCCCCCCCCCCACCATCTGGTAGTCCGCGGAAAAAAGAGGGCAGGGCGCGATCGCATACCTGCGGGCGGGCGGCCTGCTTGGCGATCGCCAGCCCCCTTTGCGCCCTTGTGGACCTTAACACCTGCCTGCCAAGGGAGAGGGGGAGGCGGGACTCCAGGATCAGGCTCATCAGGGTGGTGAAGGCGCTGCCCCCCCCCCCCCGACCCAATGCCGCAGGCTATTGCCCCGGGCAGTTGAAAGCCCGAGAATATGGAAGACACCCCAGGCAAGATTCCCAGCGGGCAACATCTTCGGTGAGCCTCACCCTGTT